AATCATCAATAAAAGTAACAAAATATTGAAAACCTAAATTAGACTTAACACGACCGGGTCCCCAAATGTCGAGTAAACTAAGGCAAAGGGGGATGAGGCACGCTGGGAAACACTACGAGAAAAGGAAGTACGACTATGTTTGCCTAACCGACAGGACTCACACACCAAATTGGACAACTGGGATAAGCTGGGAACAAGTTGCCGTAATTTGCGCAGACCGGGGTGACCAAGCCGAGCATGAAGGAGAGAAGGAGACTCCATAACCGTGCCAACATGTGGAGAAGGTTGAAGATAATAAAGTCCATGTGACTCACATCCGGTGCCAATCACTCTTTGCGAGCTCCGGTCCCGTAGGGAAACGAAGTTTTGGTAAAAGAGATAACACAATCAAGAGATCGAGTTAGACGGCTAATGGATAATAAGTTAAAGGGGGACCCGGGTACATACAAAACATTATCAATGGACAACGAGGGAAAAAGAGTAACTGTTCCAATACCATGAGCTAAAGTTGTAGACCCATTAGCCATTGTAACAGAGGGTAAATTATGAGAAGAAGTGAAAGAGGAAAATAAGGATTTGTTACCAAGTGATGTGATCGGTGGCGCTCGAGTCAAGAACCCAAGGGCCAATAGAAGAAGAGTGAGTCGGACCAACAAAAGATGTACTGTGTGGGCAACGAAGTAGTGGAACCTGGAGGGCTTTCGATCCTCATACCATTGAAGAAAATCATTGAAGATAGCAGATTTGTCCGAAGGTACAGACGAAGGAGGATCCACAGCAGAGGATTGTGCGGAAGAATCGGTCCCGAGCAACTGCAGCGAGATCGGCGAGGATAACCATGTAAAGCATAACATTTGTCAATTTTGTGGCCTAGTTTGCCACAATGGTCACACTTGACACGCCCTTTGCCTGGCTTGTGAGAGCGATTACGATCATCACGGTGAGAGGCCAAGGCGAGATGAATCATTAGAAACTACAGGGGGAATATTGAGAGGTTTACATGGCACCCGCAAAAGGGAGGAACTGGTAGCGGTAAAGCCGGGTGTAACAGGGGAACCCAAAATCCGGTCACGAACGAGGGCATATTTATCGAGCAAGTCCGTGTAACATCAAAACCATGAAAAACTTTGATCGTTGCTCTAATTCTTGGGCGGGAGTCGAGGCAGGGGGTAATAACTCATTAAATTCATGGAGAAGAGCATGGATCTTACCCACATAATCCGCCACAGGATCCTTATCTCGAGGAGAAATAACATCAAGAAGATTGTAACAAACACCATAAAGACGTTGAGTGTCATTGGTGTATAATAATTTGGCTTGTTCCCAAACGTCATAACATGTGCCATACGATCGAAAAATTTGTTTTAAAGAAGATTGGATGGTATTCTTGAGAACCATACATATATGAGCATCAACTTTCTTCCAACGGACACGATCATTGGAAGGAACATCATCTACCTTGGTAGTAAGATGATCAACATACCCCCGACTCTCAAGCCAAAGTCTAATATCGGATGCCCAAGTTGCATAATTCGTACCATCTAATTTATCAATGGGTAAATTCACATTGACATAATTAGTAAAAACAGTTGCTCGGACCCACCGGAGTCGACGGAGGTAACTTCGGACTGGAAGTGGCAGCGGAAGATGCCATGGAGGAAGAGAGAGAAAAACCCTAAAACACCAAAGAGGTCCGATTGGAGCAGCGAGGACAGATCCGGAGAGAGGAGAAGGAGGCGACGCCGGCGCAAAGATCGGCGGCCCGAACGGCGGCGAGACGCGCCGCCACGCGCGGCGGAACGGGAGAAGGTGGCGCGGCTTCGGGAGGTGCGTGAGGGAGCGTGGTCTGCTCCGATGACCGTGAAACTTCCACGGTGGAGGTCGCACGGAGGAGGCGAGCAAAACCCCGTGCTCGGCGGTCCGAACCGCTACTCTGGCGACGCAGCAGGCGGCGGCGGACGGCGGTGGCGACGGCGGCAGCGATGGAGGCGGCGACAACTGCGAGTTCGAGTGGCGAGCCGAAAAAAATCCCAAGAGACCTTAAGCTCGATACCATGTTGAATATAGGGTTAATTTCCCTTATGTATTTACCACACATAGGGCAGTGTATTTATAATAAAGAAAGGTACTCCACAAAAGAGTAACGAGAATACAAATAGGGTAAATAAAAAGATATTATTTGATATTGTGATTAACAATATCTAACAATATCTCAACAATATCAAACAATATCAACTAATATCTAATCATATCTAACAATATGAATTAAATCAGTATCTTTCAATCTAATTCGTATTTAATCATCAAATTAAGAATCAATTGATACTTAATTTGATTCTAAAATAAAAAACGCAATTTGCAATTACATAGAGCAAATCTAAGATTAGAGAAGAAAAGAACGAACTCAGAACGATAAATGATTGATGGAAAACTCAATTCGTCTTATTTGATCTTGATTTTGGGAATTGATTATCAAGATTTAGTTCTTCATAGATGAAGAACACCAAAACAAATTTTGGAGAAGAATACATGAGAAGAGGAAAAGTAAAAAATAGAACTGAGAGTTAAGAGTGCAAAAAAAAGATGAAGTGGAGACAATTTCTCGAATTGAAAATTTAGTAAAATGATTTTTATATGTATTTGTTTAAAGCACACCTAGACTATTTAGTTATGAAATCTAATGCAAGCATGAACTTAAATGTGGACTCTTATTAGGTTCATAAGTCCAATTATAAAAGTTTAAACTAATACAAAGAAAATCTAATTCACATGAGTTTCTTTATAAAATTTCAGTAAATCTGCTTTAAATTCTCAAAAATATAGAAAATAGTAGAGACCTCTAAATCCAACAAATCATATGTCAAATTCAAAGTCTTAGAAATATAGAATAAAATGCATCTGAAGTCAGCAAAAAATAATATCTACAAAAAAAATTATGACCAAAACATTGAGCAAATGTCAGATAAGATGAACATACAAAATTAAAGTAAATATGTACATTGAATCCAATTAATTACTATTGAAAGAAAATGAGTTAAAAACTGAAAATAAAACATATGGAAAGTGCGTTCATTATACAATAAAACTATAAATGTGCGTACAAAATATGGGTTATCAGTGTGATGCCATGCATCTGTGATGAAAGCTTTGGAATTAAACGAGACTTGGGTAGTTGCGAAGACTCCCCTCAATGTCTGACCAATTGGGTGTAATTGGATTTTTAAAATCAAACAGTACCTTGACAGAAGCATGGAATATTACCAAACTCACTTAGTCACCAATGGATTTGCACAAATAGAGGGCATTGAGTACTTTATCCCTTTCCCTCCCATGGTGATGATGATCACCATTCAGGTTGTTCTTGCTTTAGACTCCATCAACCATTGGCATCTTCATCAACTTGATGTAAGCAATGTATTCTTACAAGAAGATCTTTCAGATGATGTTTATGTGACTATTCATTTGGCCTTGGTCATTCCCCATCTTCTTATTGTTGCAAATTGCTCAAGTCATTATATGGATTGAAATAGGCAAGTTGAACATGGTATGAGAAGTTATCAATCTTGTTGATATCATGTGACTATCAGCAAACTCATGTAGATCATAGTCTATTTATGAAGAGCAAAGGGTCTATGTTTACTATCCTTCTAGTTGACGTGGATGATATTGTAATCACAAACAATTGTGTACAAGAAATAACTCAGCTTAAACAAACCCTTCATTCCCACTTTCATGTTAAAGACCTTGACACCTTGAAATACTTTTGATATTAGAAGTTGCACATGCTCCCATAGACATCTCTCTTTGTTAGTGTAAAAATTGTTTGGACTTACTAACTCTGGTTTACTTGCATCGAAGCCATTATCAACACCCATGGGCAATTCGCTCCATCTTAGTCAAGGTTCTGGTAATGCTCTTCTTGACCAACGCTCATCCAAACATCACATTTCCTACTCAACAACTTAATCAATTTATGTCCAAGTCTACTCAAGATCATTATTGTGCTACTACTAAAGTGTTAATATATCTCAAAGCTAGTCCAAGGAAAGGCATATTTTCCATTTGAGACTCTGCCATCCATTACAAGGGTTTAATGATATTGATTTGGCGGCTTGTATTGATTCTCACCGATCAATAATAGGCTATTGTTTTTTTTCATTGGAAAATCCTTAGGAAAACGAAGAAGCAAGAAACGTTTGCTGGTCCTCCTTAAAAGCTGAATACCGAGCCCTTATAACCATCGTTTGTGAGCTTCAATAGCTGAGCTACCTCTTGAGGGATGTTCACATTTCTTGTCATTGACCTCTTGTCCTTTATTGTGACAATCAAAATAGTATTCATATTGCAGCCAATTCTGTCTTTCATGAACGTACAAAGTACCTGGATATTGATTGTCACATTGTTTGCAAGTATAATCTCTCAAGCTTGAGTTAATCAACATATTTTCATCTCCAACGTGTGGGACTATCAGAGATTAATAACCCAGTGGTATAAGCCCAAGAATGATAATGACCCAAGCCTAGGAATGAGACATTCTTGAATCTTAATAATAACCCAGTGGTACAAGCCCAAGAATGATAATAACCCAAGCCTAGGAGTGAGACATTCTTGAATCTTCCAAATCTATTATTCTCTGTTAGTGCCAGCTGATTGTTCTTGTCATATCTATTTTGCTACTACTTTTGCTGTTTTGTATCTTTTGTTATGTACATAGAGATTTTTATGTTTATCATGAATGATTTGTATAGGAACCTTGGATCCATATATATCCCTCTGTATTTTGACAGGCGATATGCAGACAATAAAATAACAGTTTTTCCTCTGCACCTTGTCTAAGTTTCTTGGCCCTAAATATCTATAAATTTGTGACATGTTGTATTTTGATTTGACTTAAATGGAATATTGAATTATTAATGGATTGATGAACTATTACTGAACTAGTTATTATATTTTCAAAGGTAGGAGCTGGTCTTCCTGTAATAGCATGCCTGAATCGCATAATGTCTTCTGGTGATCCCGTTCATCAAATTATTGGGAGTTTGAGTGGTATATATCTTTCATGATCAATTACATATTATTTTTAGGTTTTCCAACATGTATTATTAATAAGAAATTAGTTTTCTTGATATTGTATTTATGCTATTTGCTCTTATTAGGGACATTGGGGTATGTAATGAGTGAGGTTGAAGAAGGAAAGCCACTGAGCCAAGTTGTTAAAGATGCTAAAAGTCTGGGGTATACTGAACCAGGTTAGTTCTTCTACTTTTGAAATTGAAACTGGTTAATCAATATAATCTATTACTAGCTTTGACTTTGACTAGTAATACTACACTAGTGTTGGGCCAAATTATTAGTATAAATTGGACCATTGGTTAGTCACAGCATCAACACACCATATCAATCTAAAATTATTCTCACATCGCCTAAATCTTATAATTCCAATGATTTTAATATTTGAATGAGCTATTAACATTTTTTATGGTAAAAAGAGGTTGTATCATTATGAAGTAGATTCTTAGGTTAGGCATTGGAATGATTAAGTCTTCTTGTTTTTTGGTCATTTCCTCTTGATCTCTGTTTGGTAATAGCTGAGTTAGTTAATGATAATTTACCTTTTGGGTGTTTAGATTATTTATACATCCTATCTTGTTGCAGATCCACGTGATGACCTTGGTGGATTGGATGTCGCTAGAAAGGTTCAATGCAGTTTGATTTACATCTAAAGATTAATTCTGTAGCTGTTTCTATTTATAGCCAGCTGACACAACTAACTTCTAACAACCTACTAAAGTAGCAAGTTTGACTACTAACAATTTCCAGAGTTACCAACCTCTAATTTAGATTGCTGACATAATTTTCATGACATTGCCCCTGCCTTGACAGCATCCTTGTCCTCAAGGATGAAAAGCTGGAAATTACTTCTTCAATTCATAGTAGTATCCCGAAGGGGCATCCTTTGGTAGATGATGTTTCCATTTTACCAGCACCTTTGTCACCAACAAACCCCTTCGTTTGATCTGATCTAGAATTGATTCTGGCTCCATTTTCTACAAAAACGTCCTCCTGCGTTAAGGCAAATCAATGGTTGTGGCTAAAGTTTCCCACATATTTTTTAAGTTGGAAAACATGAAATACATTGTGAACCTTAGAGTGAGTTGAGATATCAAATCTATAAGCTATAGTACCAATCCAGTCCAATATTCTAAAAGGGCCAAAAAACTTGGAATTTAGCTTAGAATTGCTCTTGAATGCCACAAAAATTTGTCTATATGGGTGTAATTTTATGTAGTCAAAGTTTCCTATCTGGAACCATCTATCACTCCAATGTTTGTTAGCCACCTGTTTCATCCGTTCTTGGGCTCTTTTTGAATGAAACTTGATGAGCTTCAACATCACCTCTCGGCTAAACTCCTATCCACCAACTCCACTTTAGACTCCCCAGGAAGATTGATGGAGTTGGTTGTCCATACATTATCTATATGGTTTAGCCTTAGTTATAGTGTGGTAGGAAGTATTATACCACCATTCAGCTAAAGATAGCCACTTAGACCACATATGTGGAGCATCAATATGCATACATCACAAATAAGTTTCAAGACACCTATTCACCACCTCCATTTGGTCATCATTTGAGGGTGTAACTTGATAAAAGCTGCACTTGAACCCCTTGAAATGATATGAATTCTTGACAAAATTGACTAATAAAAATGGCCACTTAGACCACATATGTGGATCTCAATATGCATTCATCTCAAATAAGTTTCAAGACACCTATTCACCACCTCCATTTGGTCATCATTTGAGGATGGTAACTTGATAAAAACTACACTTGAACCCCTTGTAATGATATGCCAAAATTGACTAATAAAAATGGAATCCCGGACACTAGCTATGGAACTAGGGAAACCATGCAATTTAAAAACATTATCCATAAAAGCTTGAGCCACAGTACTAGCTTTGTAAGGATGAGACAAAGCCCTAAAATGTGCAACTTTACTCAACCTATCAACCACCACAAATATCACTTGCTTGCCATATGAACTAGGCAACCCTTCAGTAAAATCCATAGTAACATGCTACCATATTAGCGTTAGAATAGGAAGGGGTTGGAGCAACCTAGGTGAAGCTGTGGTATCATAATTGTTGGCATCTAGAAATCTCTAAATAAACTTCCTAACATCATTAATTAACCCTTTCCAATATACAACAACCTTAACACTCTTCATGGTAGCACTAGTCCCTGAATGTCCTCCTCTAGTTGACGCATGTAACCATTGTAATATATCTTCTCTTAAATTTAAGTCATTACCAACTACTAACTTATCCTTTCTCCTTAGTTCACCTTCTTGCCAATTGTAATGTTTGTGAGGAGTTGATCCATCTTACACTTCTTCGATCAACTTTTGCAAGATGGTATCCTTCCCCCATGACTTGTGAATCTTGTGTTAGATAAAATTAATAATAAGAGTTTATTGGAATGTCTTGATAATGTTGGAACGTTTTTGTATTGATGATATCACTGGGTGGTTATTATTTGATATTAGGAGTTTTTATTTCCTAATTATGATTAGAGATTTTCGCAAAAGATAAATAGACTATTGTATTCCTCATTTGAGGTATGAGTGGTTATTATTTGATATTGGGAGTGTTTATTTCCTGATTATGATTAGAGATTTTGGCATAAGATAAATAGACTATTGTATTTCTCATTTGAGGTATGACAAAGAATCAATAATATTAAGTTTTCAGAAATTCTTTGTTATCAAATTGGTATCAAGAGCTAGGGTTTTAAAGGAGAGTTAGGGTTTGAGTTTTTGAGCGTGAGAAAAGAAGAATTTTCAAGTGAGAATGACTGGTATGACAAATGTTGTTGTGCCCTGACTGACGAAGGACGTCAGTTATGATAGATGGAGTGTCCAGATGAAAACTCTCCTCAAAACCCAAGATTGTTGGGATATAGTAGAGGAAAGATTTGAAGAACCAGAAACCACGGAAGGATGGACAACCTTTGCACATAAGACATTGAAGGAGGAACGTTCAAATAATAGTACAGCTCTGTTTACGTTGTTTCGTGCTGTAGAAGATTCCGATTTTCAGAAGATTGTAGAAGCCACATTTGTAACCGAAGCGTGGGATGAGTTGGAGAAGGAATACAAGAACGATAGCCGAGTCACATGAATTCGACAACAAAGACTGCATAGCGAGATGGAGAGCATGAGAATGAAGGAGTCATAAGGAATTTTCGAGTATGTCTTGCGTGTTGAAAACATGACGAAACAACTTAATCAGAAAGGAGAGGTGTTTTCCGCAAAACAAATCGTTGAAAAGATCTTGAGGTCATTAACATATGAATTTGGGAACGTAGTGTGCGCGATAGAGCATGCAAAGGACTTGTCCGAGCTTACAATAAAAGAGTTGGTCGGTTCTCTTGAAGTCGATGAACACCGAAAGAAGAAAAAGGAGGAGATGATTATGAAATTGCTCTAGAATGAGGAGAAGACTCTATTCTCAGAATAATAGAGGAAGAGGATGAGTACGTAATGGAAGAGGACAAGGCGGATGATCTGGTCGAGGTGATGAGAATGAAGAAGGAGTTCAACAAAATTGGCGAGGAAGAGGACGTGGTCGAAGAGGAGGTCGGTTGACGAACCATTCAAACATCGAGTGTTACAAGTGTGACAAGTATGATCACTATGCGAATGATTGCTACTCAGACAAATGTTTCAACTATAGAAAGGTAGGGTATTTTGTGAAAGAACCAAAAGGTGGAAGAGACCTATCTCGCAGAGGAGACGGAAGTTGACGAAGCAATGTTGTTGATGACCGATATTAACATGAAAAATAATAGTGATGGAGTTCGGGAAGATATCGAGAAGAAGTCGATATGGTATTTGGATACGGGTGCGAGCAATCGCATATGTGGGGACGAGCACCTATTTAGCAAATTGGAGAAATTTAAGGGTGATCATGTGTCTTTTGGAGATGGCTTAGAGGTCTTGGTAAAAGGTCGAGGTAGTATTTGTTTCTTGCATAAGGATGACCCAGTCGGGTCAATCGGCGATGTGTTATATGTTCCAGATCTCAAGAGAAGTCTTTTAAGTATGGTGGGACAGTTGATGGAGAGAGGATATTCAATTTTCATTAAAGATCGAATACTAAAATTGAAGGACAAACTCGGAAGGTTGATTTCCCAAAAAGAGATGGGAAAGAATAGAATGTACAAGTTGCAGTTTAGAAGCATTCAGGAAAGGAGTCTGAAATTAAATGTAGAGGGCACGTTGAAGAAAAATCATCGATTTGGTCACATGCATTTTTGTGGTCTAATCGAGTTAATTCATGATGATAATCCGAATGTACGAGTTGATGAAATGAGAGAGTGGAACTGGGGAGAATTGAAGGATGATAGAGGCAGTCAAGCTACTACACCACCAGTAGTAGTTAGTTCGACAACCGAGGAGGAAGAAGTAACTGTATCAGTGAAGTTGAAGAAAAACATGAAGAGCATGGTGCTCGGATTGCCGAGCATGGAGAGGAGAATTTGCAAAGGTGTGGCGAGGATCGAACTTCAGAAAAATGCCGAGTATAGAGAGAAATCCGAGTTAAGTCTGAGTAGTGGATTTCGAAGTAACCATGTCCAAGCTGTTGTGGACAAAATGATTCGAGCTGTTGTGAACGAGAAGGTCTGAGCTATTGTAGACGAGAAGGTCCGAGTTGTTATTGAAGAAAAGATTCGAGTTGTTATTGAAGAGAAGATCTGAGCTGCCATGGATGTTGAGATCTGAGCTATAGATCGAAATGACACTTGGGCAATAACTTCCCTATTGAACAATGTTCGGCCTATTGGCATAAAGTGGGTATTCAAGAGGAAACTAAATGCACAAGGAGAGGAGTCAGAGATATTTGTGTCTCAAGAGGCATATACAAAGTAGATTTTGAACAAGTTTAAGATGACCGATTGTAATTCGGTTCAACTCCCATGGAACCAGGATCAAAACTTTCAAAATTTGATGGAGGAGGCCCAATTGATTTGAGCAGATATCAAAACCTATTTGGAAGTCTTTGTTACTCCACAAGTACTAGACCCCGATTTGTTGTTGAGTGTTGGGATTGTCTGTCGATTTATGGAAAATTTGAGTTACTCTCATTGGAAGGCATTTCAGCAAATATTGAGGTCTATTCGAGATACATTGTCACTCAGATTGTTGTACACAAAGTCTAACAATTATCGACTTATCGAGTAATCAGATAGTGACTAATGTGGAGATGTGGATGATCGGAAAAGTATATCAGGGTATGTATTCTTCATGGTAACACAACGTTTACTTGACTTTCAAAGAAGTAACCCATAATAACATTGTCAATTGTGAAGCCGAGTATGTAGTAGCATCGTGGAGTGTGTGTCATGTAGTGCAACTCAAAAATTTTCTAAGCTCGCTGGAGAAGAAACAACTCGGTGCAACCGTAATCCGATTTGATAACAAGTTGGCATTGAACAATGCAAAGAATCCAATGAATCATGTGGAGGAAAGGAATGTGAACCTCGTACATGTGGTGAGCTAAGATCAAGTTGTTGATATTTTCACGAAGCTATTATCTATTGTTTTATTCGAGAGTTGCAAGAGACTAATCGGGATGAAAGATGGAAAGAACTCAGGTGCTCGAAACCTGGATGTTTGACGAATTGACAAATTGGCTAAGTTGGGAGCTCAAAAGTTTGAAGACG